CACAAAATGCGGCTGCGGCTCTGGAAGGCTCTGTAGCTCTTCACACCTAAATCAATGCATGAAATCTATAGAATTCCCACGCTACTGTTCCCGTAACCAAACATCGGCTCCTTCTCCCACAGGTACCATGAGCTTCTCTCTCTATTTTCACTTTGTTTAAACCTACAGCAATTCCAGACCCCTGGGTACCCAAAAGAAACAACACAACCAAACCTCCGTCTTAATAATTTACATCAGAAACTGAAACAACATTCACCGTTTTAAACAAGAATGGCATCTTCTGGCCTATTTTATGTATTTTTTAGAAGAAACATGCACTTGTGGAGTCAACCATAGTCGAACCAGTTATCCTCAGCTCACTGCACCGCAGAGCAGACGAGCGGCTGCTGCTCCTGTGCCACAGGGTTTGCACATGCAGCACCGACAGCCTCAGCCTTTGCTTGAAGTCAATAGGACATTTCTGTAGGAAACAGCCCTTGCGCAAAGTGCTTCCCACTATATTTATCCCCACCACGGTGCAGCCATCTGCCAGGGACCATTTCCAAGCACACCCTTTCCTGCTCCCAGGAGAGGCCGGGTAAACCAGGATTTAGACCTGGATTTAGACACAGGATTTAGAAAGCAAAAGGGCTCTCCCGGGAAGCCTGGGGCACACGCACACTCTGCCAGCGCCCAGCGGGCCGGCTGGCTCCGGGGAAGGGAGGTTTGCGGGAGCACAAAGCCGGAGATGCTGCGCTCCGTGCTGGCGGTGGTCAGTCCAGTGCCGGCATGGCTGGCGTTTGCTGAATTATGTAACGATTAAAAAAACAAATGTTAAATATTTTATTAAAGAGTAAATCATGCTCGGTCTGCCACTGTATGGCACGGTATTAAGGTAAGACCCTTAGGATAAGCGTACGTCATAAAGGGGCACGGAGCAGCACATGCACACACAGCGTAAAATACGATTAGTTGGGGGGACAGGACGTTTCACCACAAACGAAATTTGGCCCTCCTTTAGACAGAAACTGAGTAACGGGATTGTCACAACCTTGCAACAGCATTGCAGTCCCTGTTACGATGGGGCTGTTGGTTTATCGCATTTATTCCCATTGCTGGATTACAAGAACTTGTGCTTCACAGAAGATGTATTATTGCTGGCACTTTCTCACTCACACACTCTCTCTTAGACACACACAGAGTCCCTTATAGGGAGGGGGAAAAAAAAAAAGGTAAACCGTCCAGCCTTATCAAACGCTGCTTGGAGCAGCGTAACCTTGCTGAATCCTGCACTTGCAGCCCGTTTCGCTCTGCCACTGTTCGCACCCAGCTTGCCTTTGGCGAGGTGAGAACAAGGCAGGGTCCAGGGTACCAGCGGTTAAGTAAAGTAGGTTATGGGTGGAGGGGTTTTTAAGAGACTGGTGAAGGAGGGTCCCGCATGTAAGTACCCGATAAGCTGATACAAACGCGCTGGGGCCCTCACAGCGAGGCGGCTTCTGCCTTGGGAACCACCACCAGCCCCAGGCGGCTGCGGTGCCTCTCACCCTGCCGCCGAGCCGCGGCTTGGCCCCGTCTGAGGGAAGCCAGTCTGGTTTGCTCTCCTGAGCCTGTAGGCCGGTTTTTCTGGAAAAAGCCTCTTTACCTCTTAGGAAACGATTCCTTCCTTCCAAAATTTGCAGAAGAAATAATTGGAAGTATAGGCACGAAGTGTTTAACCGGAGCAACCCAAAGTTGGCTGTACAATGTTTAGAGTCGTATTTTTTAAAATACAATTTTTTGTCGTCCATTTACAGTCACTGTTGTTCTTTGGAAGGGAGCGCGGAATATTCACCTTTTTTAGATAGTCAGGACCATTTGTGCGGGTTGAAGCGTGACTAAGGGTGGCACGAACCTACCAGCCAGACCAGATGCATCCCCCTCGCAGCCCCAGAGCACACGAACAAGGCTGGGCCCCGGCTGGGGTCGCTCCCAGAGCTCGCGGGAGCTCATGCAAGCCCACCTGGCAGAAACCCACGAGGAGGCAGCCCGGAGCGTGTCTACCACCCTGTGACTGCAGTGCAGACACAGTACTATCTATCTCCTGAAAGAAGAGGGCTGTAGGACATCCAGTCTGTTCAAACGTGTTTCCTACTGTCTGCCAGCAGGACAGTGTCACCATGCTTGTTAAACCCCGTGCCTAAAAGGCACATAGCCCGAGGTCTCCGGTAGCCACATGCTAACCCTGCACAGCTGACGAGTCCTGTGGATTGAAACCTCTCCTCCAGGAGCCCAGCAGCAGCATGGAAACACACACGGGGAGGTAAAGAAAAACAGAGAAACTGTCATGCAAAAATAATTTATTTTTTAAAATTATATACAGGGGGTGGTTTATTTCAAGTACAGAGAATAGCTAAAAGCAAAGAACGATGTTCTCCACTTCACTGGTTGTTCTCGGTTACTCAGTGCGTTGCTTAAGCTTTTCATTGTTTGTGCAAACCACGTATTTTGTACAGCCAGGCGGTGGTGGCCAGTACTGCCAAGTTACAGGGCAGAGCGCCTGGTAAGATGGGCTATCAGGTAGCGGGAATCTTTAGGAACTGTATGAATGACAGTCACACAGCCCACCCAAGGCAAGGTCTTCTTAATGTAAGCAATTTTCCTAAGGCTTTAAACAGGGACTTGCCCAGTTCTGCATAAATACCAGCCAGAAAAAAGCAAAGCAGAGTCCAAAGTTAAGTAATGCAAAATTAGTGACTAATTATTAATTAGCAAAAAGGATTTTATCCTTGAGAGTACAAAGAGAAAAAAAAGACATTACACTATTCAGTAGTTGACATTTTTTTATCCTCTTACCAAAAAAAAGAAAAAAAACACTTACAGTCAAAACATTTTGCAACTTAAAACTTCTAAATTTTGAGCTAGAAATTCTATGAAAAACACATTTCTGCAAATGTTACGAGAAAACTCACGGAGTTGTATTAACTACCATATAAATTGTTCTGTTCTGGAGCACGGACTAGAGGAGACACTGGAAGATATGGTTATGTCACACTTGGGGAAACGTCTTCATGATGGCTGCAGGTGGAAGCCGTGGCCTTCATTTGTCCCTAAGAAAAGTAATCACAAAGATACGAAAAGATGAGCACTGCAAGAAAATGGACAGATCAGAAGGTTCATAGCTATGAAGAGCGAGGGCGCTGGGCAGGACAGGTAGCCACTGCTGGTATAACACTCAGGAACACATATTCAAAATCCATTTTGTCACCGCATTGACAGGCCTTATCGCTAATGAGCACCTCAGTGCCAGCATTTCGATCACACGGTAGCAAAGTTAGGGCGTATTTTTGGAACTGCCACCCTGCTGGCTAGTTCAGGTCAAAGATGCAAGTAAGGGTTAAGCCCTCCATCCCCACCGCAGCTGCCGTGGAGGGCTCTGCTCAGCCACATCCGAGGCTCCCTCCGCCCCACGAGTACCTGGGGAGTATTTGGCTTTCGCGTGGTTGACGACTGGGTGCTGCAGGGGCGTTACAATGCCTTGGTCGGGTTTCTGGAAAGCCGAAATGAGGTTGTGCACTTTCCGAAAGAGCCTCCGGTGGACCCCAGGCGCTGTCTGCAAAGCCAAAGGGTGAGGGGTGAGAGGGGATGCTGAGTGTTGAGTGTCTGTGCCAGGCTCTAGGTGCTGGCACAGAAGCCTTGTCCTCAGAACAGCACACATCCCCCTGGGGAAGGAGCCAGTCCTTCACTTGGACCCCCCTTGATGTGCCCACTTAAAACGAGCCGTACTGCTCTCCTCCTTCCCCCGGGGCGTCGCGGCCTCCCTGCACTAGGAGCGGTTTCCAGCAGCGTGGTGATATAAGGCTGGAAGAGGGACAATTTCTTCATCACTGCAACAGAAACCCAGAGCCTGCCATGCTTATTAAGCAAATTCCTAATTCATCTTTCGCTACTTCAGACCCTGTTTTATTGCTGCCAGTGATTTAACCTCCAGCTTGAGGTTATCAGTGACATACTTCCAGCCTGGAAATACCAGTAGGACAATCTAGAGAGCTACCTGGCACTCACCAGGGAGGGGCAGTCCTTACACCACTAAATTCAGGCATGGACACAGCCTCTTGCAAACCTTTCTCTGAGCACTCAGTACTGGCTCACACGTTCATTGAGTATTCCTGTCTCTCTCATACAAAAGCAGCAGCAAAATGTTACCTATTTATTAAAAGTGGGAGGTTTTTTATCTTTCTACATCTTTCTAAGTCTTTTCGAACACTGTGAAATGAAACCGTGTCTGCTTTTAATCAAAAATCCAATGTTTCTGCTAAATCCTTCAGGACATTCTTGTAATAACTCCTCCCCACCACAGTCATGGGAGGACAAGCACAGGTCCTGCCTGCACAGTCCCACCTGAGGGACGCTGCTCTCACCCAGCACCCTTGGGCTAAATCCTGCCCCACTGGCACCAGCTGGAGTCTTCGCGCTGGCTGGGATTTTACCAGCGCTGTTTTAATTCCCTCCTTAGTCGTTGAAGGACGGGTGCGAGCCGAGCTGGCTCAGAGACTGACCAGCCACAGGGGAGGAAGCAGAGGCAGGAAAGCACCAGCTGCAGCTGGAGCCTGCTTTGGCCTTGGAGGCACATTTCAGCGGGATAAGTTGGATTTAGGCGGCTGTTTCTAACAGCTGAGGCCAGTGTGGTCTTAGCAACATTTACTTAAAGGTTTCCCTTTGCTTAAAGGAAGGGTTGGCACCATGGGCCTTTAGCTATCACCTTTCCCTGCAGAGGATGTACTGAGAGTCCTGGGCCTCCAGAACACCTACGCTGTGAAACACAGATAAGGTTTGCCTACGATGCCGCGGGGGAAAGCCCAAGACCCGTATGTAGGAAGCCAGCGGAGGTCATGGGGGAGGAGTTCTTAGCAGGTCTGTGTAACACCAGAAAAACCTCACTGCAGACTCTGACGTTACCTGGGGCCAAAGCAGGCTGCAGCCTCGCTCAGGGAATCATCCTCCGCAGGTGGGGGACTCCGGGGGTCCTGGCATCCTTCCTGAGACACCCGTGCTCGTCCTGGCACACCGGGTGCCCTACCACCCCCGCCTCGTCCCAAAACCCCTGCTGCTTGGGCAAGTGCAAAGCTCCAGGGTGCTCCTGATGCCTTACGGGAGCGAATGAGCAAATTCTTCCTGGGTACCATTCCCAAGGGCGACACGGATAATTATTTACTCTGCAGTAATGTGAGTCGCTCTTACTCCCCAACCTACCTCTGAGGAACCCCAGGAACTGGTCTTGTCTTCCAGAGCAATGCAACCAGTTCTATTACAATAATGGCCAAGGCATTATGCCTGTCTAGAAATTATTTAGTATTTGTAATCAGTGTTCATTAACATGCAAATAGAAGTCTAATCATTAATTGATACACGGAGTACATCCAAAGAACAAGACCTTCATAAAAGAAATACAGGTTAGCATCCTGATTCCATCAGCCTAAATAGCTGTCTGTATTGCAAATGGTGTTTTCCTACACTTGAATTACCAGTTTCGCATCAGATGGGTGAGAATACATTTTGTATCAAGTTTTGGCTACCTTATATATGTTTTGCACCAATGATTAATTGCTCTGGAGAGAAATTAACTTTAAAACACTGTAGATTGAAAATAATTTCCTTAAATATTCTGACATCAATGGTAGGTGGGATAGAAGGGAACTGATTGTGCTTGTCAAATTATAAAAACACAATATTTTTGCCATTTAAAATGATGCAAAATAATGCACTATTGCATTATGCAACAGCTGGAATGTAACAGGGAATTAATTTATGAGTTCAAGACTGTCAGAAGTGGCACCAAGACATCTTAGTAATGGGCAAACTCAAGATCGATTACCTTCCATGAAAATCAGGCTATGCAGAAACATGAATAATTTGAATATATTTCATTAAATCAATGTGAACATCAAATAGGATGTATAAATTTTCAGAAAAGAAAGGAGAAGTACACACCTCGGCACTCCAGGACCCAGTTTCTGTCTTGGACACTCTGTAGGTATAAACATAACCCTGATGCCTGTGGAAAAAAAAATCAACAGATATTTATTACTCATTTCTACTGTCAGGTTTCACAAGAGGTATGCTCTGTTACATGGGAGTCAGTTCATCTGCTAACCTTTCCTTAATAATTCACCCATAAATTCACCCATATAGGCTCTAGGTAGGTAAAAAAGACTGAGGCACTGGTCAGAAGCAGCGTTCAACCTACCGGGTTCTTTTTGGATGAGAGGGATTGGCCTGACTCAGACCTAGTTCAGCAATATTCAGTTATTCTAGGTTAACTGGCATTCCTTTCATTCCTGCCTCAGCATGTTTTTATATTTTTTCAGTGACCTCCTTCAACTGACACACACCAGACATACTTGGAAAAATAGAAGGTGTATTATTGACAGATAGCATTACTGTTCTGTGATCGATCTGAATACAGATGTTCCCAGAAGCAATAACATGCGTGTAATTTATTTGGAAAGCTAGACGCACAAAAGCCAAGTAAATTACTCTTTGCCTTGCCTGTACATTCCTAACTCTCAAGTGTTAATAAAGGAGACTTATAAGAGTGTGGAATCTTCCTTCTTTTTAAATATAATTTGAGTCTTTCGAGAATTAGGAGTCATACACTAATAGCACAAGACATACTCGTGTCCAGAGTCAGTCTTGCGTCTTTTACAAACCCAACACAGCAAATTATTTACATGGTAAATTATTATACCAATATCCAAAAAATTGACTCGGAAGCAGAGACAATTGATAGTAGTTCCACGGGTGCAACGTTAGTTTAAATGGTATCAGATAAGAAAGATTACATTTCATACTACATAGATTTACATGAATACACAGCAGGATTTTAGGGACAATTCCATATTTCAGCATCAATTTTTATTCTTAAGAAAGCAGAAAAATACTGCAGAAAAATATTTCTTTCCAATTATGCATGGTATCATAGCAGCTACTACAAAATAGCAGAAACCATCAGCGACACAGATACCATATGATTGCAATTACTTACGCTCTGTGTCATGGCTCCTGGATAAATTCTTGTTAAAAAATCATTACAGCAACTCTGCAAAGTGGTGTCTGATATAAATTACCCAAGCAGGAAGTTGTTAACAGTTGTCACACTGCTATAACCCCACGAAGTGGGAGCAAAAGTGCGTGTTGTGATTTGTGAGCTCTCCCCCCACCACTCGACTCCCACTGTGATTAAATATGGAGGCGGAAGACACAAAGCCGGTCCCTCCCGTCGGGGCTGCCACGGGGACAAACTCCCCTCGGGGAGACTGCCCTCCTCCTTGCGTATGGGAATATGCCTGACACAGCCCCACGATCCCACCACAGCTTCATCCACTTCTTCGTCTCAACCAAGGGACCGTTTTCCACCAAGACACGACTTTCCACCTGGTACGAGATGGACATGAAAAGTGTCCAGCCATGCTTCATGGAAGCCTAAGGAGGAAGGTTACCCCACCTCTTCCCCCAGTGAGCTCAACTGCTTCAGTCCGTCAGGGATTTGGATGGGCCAAGAAAGGGCCCTTGGGAAGAGGTGTGAGCAACCTACTGTGGCTTTAGGAGGAGGGAAGGATGTGGAAGGACAACGCGGTTCTCTTGTCCATGCCGTGGCACCACGGTCAATGGTGTTTGAGACCAAAGCTCAAGCCCCACTGTTTAAAAGCACATCCCCCTAAGTGACTAGATATGTTCATGTTCAGAGAATCCAGTGTCTCCCATTAGGGCCCTTAGACCATCCCGTACTATCACATCGTTTCTTAAAACCTCTCAGAGCTGTGCCTTTATTGTCAGTTTTTCATGAGTAGTTGATGTTCACGTTGATCTTTTCTTTTTAGAAATCACAAGGGACTTTCCTGAACCTATGTATGTTGCATGACAGCCAGTACATGGTTACCGAAACCAGGATTTTACAGGTCATAGTGTACAGGGAAACACCAGAGAGGTCCTGGCATTTTGTCCTGTCTCTTTGAAGTGACCATCTCCACAGTGATTATTTTCCAAGCCTCAAAACCAACAGAATCAGTATGTAAAGATCTAAAACTCACTCTCTTGCCTCCTTTTTTTAATAATACACTGTGCATATTACCCATGCTTGTTCTTGGTTGTTCCAAAGCAATCCGATTGCTTCAGTTTCATTAAAATCTGATTTTTCCACAGTTGTCTGGAAAGCTACCATGTGTTGTTTCTTTCATCATTTTCTCTACCTAAGAGATTGCATGACTTAAAGTGGTTGAGAGGCTGGGTTGCTGCCCTGACTCTGAAATGTCTGATGGCTTTCAGCACTCTGCCAGAAGGGTTTACTAGGCTGGACAAAGTGAAAAATAGAGGTCAGATAAAGTAATATTCAGGGTCAAAGAGAGTGATGTAGAAGATAGACCCCTATCCTGCATTTTTCAAAAAATTCCACTGTAAAATATTTCAGCTGAGCCCAGATAAAGCACAAAGGATAGCTCAGATTAAACACCCATGAGATGATACAGAATTTGGGAACACAGATGCTTTGAGCACAGCATGGAGAATGGGAAGAGTATGACATCGCTATCACAGCTTTGTGAGGGACAAGTGAGAGCTCTCCACTCACCTGGCAAATGTACATTTTTTTCCCAGAGGAGGAAAGACTGAAAGACCTGAAAGGGTTCACTGTGCTTAAGCTGAAAATCTCAATGTTGTCATCTGTTGTTGGCTCTGAAGCCATCAGTAATCACAGCCATTATGTAGACAGGAGATGGGCCAGGACCACCGCATACACACACACACACACACACACACACTTCCTCAAAGGAAATGCACAAAGGAAGGAGGACACATTTTAATAAGAAGGCGAACACCTAGACCTTCCCATCTAACTACTTTCCATTGGGATCTTTGTTCCCACAAAACAAATTACAGCTCTCCTGATAAGCATTCTCCCAACGAATATGATCTTATCAAAACTTTCTGTTAAGCAGCAGGATCTTACTTCATTACCACTTCAAAGTGCTTTTTACCTTCCATGTGCAAGTGACATGATTTTGATGAGCCAAGTTCTCTTTACTGCTACATGGGCACAGCCTCCCTTGAGAAAGGCTTTTATGATTTAAACTACCCAACATTAACTGAGATCAGTATGGGCTGAAGGAAGATCAAGGTGTTTTTCTTAAAATAAAAATTAAATAAAAAAATTAAAATTGAGATTACACAGAACATCACCGTCCAAAGAGCAGAACACGTAACACCAGGCAAAAGCAGGCAGAAAAATGCATTTACTGGAGCTTGGGTCTCAGGAGACGAGAAATTCCCCAGCCACCATGATGAGACAGCTCAGTTTTCTACATTTTACTCAATTCATGGCAGAAAAAATCTCCTAGTGTGACACAATGTTTCTATATGTGGTGCGGCCACATAGCTAAATCCAAAAACCAAACACCATGCGGCGTGGTCTTGGTGCTAGTCACCTGGGGCCTCTCACATCATAGCTTATGTTTTGAGGCCATTACCCAGCGAGATGCAGGCCAAGTCCACCTCTCAGTGACATGAACTCTGCTCTCTGCTGGACCAAATCAACAGGAGACAGACACATGTGACTGAGAGAAGGATTTCAGAGAGCGTTCTTAAACGCTTCGTGGCTTACCAGCGTTTCATGGAGGAGGGCCACCTCCTGATAGCCAGGCAAAGACCGGACGAAGGGGTCCCCCTTCCCTTCATCTGGCCCAAGGACAGCCCCAAGCCTCACTCACAACTGCAAAACTCTTCTTTCATGCCAGTGAAGCTCAAGGGACGGGAGCAATCATGAATTAACAGCCTGATGAATAAGGCCCTATAAATTTTTGATCAAAGGCAAAAAATGACAAAATGCTGATGAGGGGAAGCAGAAAACAACCATTGCTGTAAGGGCAGTATCAGGTATGAAAGAGTGGTTTGTTCATCACAGATTATATTTTTATGTCATCTCGCTTATTTTTTCATCTCCGTAACAAAGGATGTGCTGTACCAGCTGGGAACTGCAGTAGCACTGCCTCTGTTGCAATAGCATCGCTGGGAAAACTTTGTCAAAGGAAAATCTAGAAGTTGCAATTACAGGAAATGGTCCACTTTATAATATCGGACTTTATAGCTAGATAATTCCTCCCAAAGAGCTACAAAGGCTTCATTCACAGATGACATACTGAGACAGCATCTGTCTACCTGTCCTCTCCACTCCTCCTTTTCAACTCTGATCAGACTTGTTAAAGCTGCATTTACTTTAACAGGTGAATAATTACAATCTTCTGCACCATTGAAAAAGCCAGAGGATATTAGCTGCATGCTGCAGATTAAAATTAACCATGACATTTCAGCTGCATGTTATATTTTAAAATCATTTCCAAATGTTTCATATCTCAGTTGGGAAATTTTATTAAACTAATTTGTATTCATTTCTGGGTCCAAAATGGAACAAATATAAAGGGAGAAAGGCAGAGAGACAGAGGAAAGCCATGCCAGCAACAAATGACCTCAATTTCTTCCTCTTTACATAGCTTTCTCTTCTGATATCTTTGCACTATACCAATCAGCTCTTCTTACTCTTACATAGTGCCCATGCTCAGTTTCTTGTAACTTCGCCACATTTCAGCTTTTCAGACTGAAATTTTGTTTCTTGGGTGTTTGCCTCAACGTTATCCAGGGACGGAGACTGCTGAAGTGCTAGGAGAGGAGACACATTAGGAAAAACAGTGCTTTTCCCAGGTTAAAAAAATAATCTTCCAATTGTTGTTTTCTTGCTCAGTTTTTAGAATAACATTTGTTTAAAGGAAGGTATATCTCTTGCAGTCTCTGAGAGAAAGCGGTGGTGGCTGTCTGCACGGCAAGAGAGGCACTCTCTAAAGGTCATTAGCAGTTGTAGCTGCACCGTGCCTGGGCTGGCTGTACCATGGGCACTCAGCTAAGCACTGTCCACCACCTCAAGCCACAAGCGATATATGAATGTTGCCTGCCCTAGATTAGAGGGGAAAAAAACAGAAAGTAATTTAGAGTGGGCATCTTGGAAAGGAA